CGCATCCAAAAAATCGCAATAATCTTTGTCCTTTGTTACTATTGATATGAAACAAAGTCTCAATTTTCAAGTTACGTCCATTTTCTTTAGAAATTCAAAAACATAAATAGAGTTTTGGCGCTGTGGCGTGAGATCGCTCTGGAGAAGCAGCAGCGCTGATCTCTCTTCCGGCTTAATAATACCAGTCACAGCGCCAAATAAACATGAATGAGCATCTGAAAGTGTGTTAAAGATAGAGGACAACTTATCCAAATCCAGATCATGTCACATTGATTCGCTCAATCAGCGTTTCAACCGTGGAAAGACGTCAGTTAAACAGCTTGTAATCAATGTATCGTCATATTTTCCTCAGAAAACCCACATAAACTCGTTAGTCAGCTAGAAAAAATAACTCTAGAGAGGAGCATTTTGCTAAATATATACACCACATTACATATGCATTATAATCTTAATGTTCTGCAATATTTAATGCATATTTGAATAAATCTGGCAAGTTTTTATGACCGCCACCATTTACATGTTTATATTTCATATAATCTTCTAATTATAAAAATAAATATGTGTAATTTAAGTGTTTGTGTAGCTACAAAACAGTTCATTATTACCTTCATATTAGGCTAATGAAGTCTATAGGCTACAACTAGACTCCCATAGTTTACAGCATTAGTTAAGAGATTTGATTTCCTTGAGAAAATTTGCCATTTATTGTAACTGATATCCAAAATAATAGATAATCGAATCGAATTGCAAGCTTGTGAATCGAAATCGAATCGAATTGTGAAATTTGTCTCAATACCCAGCCCTACTGTTTGCAGTGATAAGCCTTTTTTAACCTTTAAACTTAGTAGTTAAAAGCCGCACGTGCTGTCCGGTTAGTTCGTCGCACTGCACATGGAAAGTCATGTTAAGCACGTTGCATTGTGGGATTCAGGATCCACGGTGAGAACATAATTCACATACGCACATTGTGCACATAGTACTTTCTTCTTCTTTTCTATAAGTTTCTTATAGTTTGTGTCTGCTTTTCCCCCACCTGAGACTGCTTGTTTGTATGAGCATATTGCTTCTGTGTGTGTTTCAAACACGTGAGCCGCATCTAGTCTTTTTCGGAGTGTATTCTGTGTGTATTCTCGCTCCAGATCTGAGAGGCGAGTTCTGTAATTGATATGCCACAAGTAATAAATCAGCCGTCCGCCTGCAACCGCTCGCCATTATCTGAGGAGACGGGTTTAGAGGTCTGTCCGCAGTGTGTGTACGTGAATTTATGCTCTGTTTTCTAAAGCAGAAGGGTTGCGAGACGACTCGCTGAATAACGTGTCCTCGGGCAGCTGTGGGAAAAATGGAGAATGAATTGACTTCCATATTAACTCTGTCTCATGTTCCTTATGCTGAAATGTGCTCCAGTGTTTGTGTGTGGCGGGTGGATCTCACTGGGAACGTCTTTTTGCCCAAAGCAAAAAAACAAAAAAGACATTTTTAATTTTATATGTTGCTTACAATACCATTTTTTTTGCATTGCATTGCATTGCACTGCATTGCACTGCAAAGACATTTGTGCATTGCATTGCATTTCCATGGTGGTGGTGTTAATTAAATAAAACATTTAAAAAGTTTCTGCATATCATGTACATAAATAAATCTTGTGGTAGATGAGCCAGTACATACAGGTTCTAGGATTGTAATGTTTGCTCAATAGTCTGCGGTTTTCAGGTTGGATGTGTGCGAACGGCTCATTTGACTGACACTGATGCCACTGATAATATTGAGCTAGGCTGAGATCTGTGATACAAACAAGGACATCTATGATAACAGCACTGTGCACAGACAGATAAATATCCAGCGCTTTATTCAGGCACTTGCAGATTCATTGATTGGCGTCATTTAAGCGCTTACTGATCGTCTGAAGTGCAGGTACTCATGGGAAATTGGCAAATCTAAAAGTGGAAGATGAGAACACAAGATGAAAGAAAGCATTCAGGGATGTTGGGTAAGAATTTCTTTCATCTCTTGATGAGATTGATAATTCTCTTAAGAAGGGCATTATGGCTTACATTTTGTATCATTTAGCCTATAGTTTCATGTTCAGTCCCTTTCATTCTTAGACTTGATCTCTAAAATCACTACAAATACTTCTGTGGAGACGGTTTTAACCATTTCATTGCCAGAGAGCAATATGAGGGGACACAGATGCAATTTGGTTTGATATTTACGGTTGACTCTGTCACAGCCGATGCGCTCAAATGAAGAGAAATGAGGTTTGGGAATCTAGTACAGGTTTCTGCCTCTTTTTATTTCTCTTTTGCTCTGGTTTTGCACGCAAGTGCACACACTGTCATCTAATAACTTCCCTTACAGTACAGTTAGAGTTATGGATATTGCTGCATGCATAGGACTGAATTGTTACCATATTGTGGTGCTTAAAATAATACACAATGCTACTATGGCACATGTCCAAAAACATGGTTTGTTAGGGTTAAAGAGCCAACTGGCTCTACGTTTTATGGCTTCCTATAAAATAAATAATAGAGTTATAAAATAACCTCTAGCTATTAGCCACTACTATCATAAAAATAAAAACGAACCGATTCTGAAAGCTTCTTTATGCTGTTTGAAGGAGAGCTATATTGATGTACTATGGTTTTACAGTATGGTTGTAGGAACCATTTTGGGTTACACTGGTTAATGCGATGGTTAGTAATTGTATGGAAAAGTAACAAAGTTAAATTTCTTGTAGTGAATATGATAGTAGCTCATCTGAAATTGAATTTGAGTTCTAGTTTTGGTTGGTTGGTTGGTCCTCTGCTGATAGACAGTGGAATAATTTCCATTTTTGCGCATGTTTCTGGAGATCTGTGGAGTGACGCCACTTCCCATCATCTCGTCCTTGGGGAATGATGGACAGATAAGAAGAGCCTCAGTTCACCGCAAAAAAGGAAAAAGGCAATGGAGATAAGACATGGGCAAAGAAAAGGATAGAGAAAGGAAACCATTCCTCCCATTTTCCCTCTGCACTATCTCCTCTTTTTATTTGCTTTATCTTTCAGTTTTCGCTTGCCTCTGGCTTTCGCCTGTTGCCGAGATTTTCCTGTTTTTGTAGTTCTGTCGTCTCATTTTTTCCAGTGGAAATGGTGGTGAACTCAGATTTGTTTGTTTGGATTTATTTTGTGTCACCAGCACAATTGCAATTGGTTTTCCTAACAATTAATTGGGTAGTAATTTTTTTTTTTTATCTAATGCTTTTATCCATAATAACTACAGGTGTAGTTTCTCTGGAATAACCAGTGGTTTCATGGTTGGCCACCCTAACCTTAAATTGAGTTACCAGTCCAAATCTTTATTCACTGTGATATCAGTCCTGGGTTTGTTGATCTGTTGACTTAAAGGGCTAGTTTAGCACAAACCCTGATCAAACACACTGTCCTGTTATTGTCTAGTAACTCTGAAGGCCACGTTACCAAATCCATTACATTTTTAAAACAGTATTATCCTATACTAAACCTAAACTAATCTTGACAAACTATGTATCATTTGAAAGCTTAGAATCTTAGAATTGATTTTCAAAATATATTACAGAGGAGCCGTAATTTATCAATTTGCAACAAGAATATTTTCATACTCTAAGCCAGGCGTGTTTAGACCTTTATTTTGAAATTGAGATGAACACGAAAATATCATGAAAGAAGGATAGAAATCTGTTTGTTTTCATGCCAAGAGTTCAAAAGAAAGCCTCCATTCCATTTTTTTTTTTCTAATTATAATAATTATTATTTCATATGGAAATGGAGGTGCCCTTATATGGGCAGTAATGGGAGTCTGGTTGTGCCCTTAGTGGAAGCGTTCAGTACTGCGCCCAAACAAAATCTCACTGAAAGCTCATTTTTTGAGATATCAACCTAAAATTTGAAACACAACTTATTCAGATTTTTGGCTTTGATATTTTTTTATTTTTTTTTTCAGTTTGAGTCGCCCAGGTTTTGAAAATATATATTTTATATAAAATATGAATAATTAAATTTGTTATACTGTACATTTTTATAAACTCAAACTTCTATAACTTTTTTTCTGTTTCACATTCTTAATTTATTTCACTTCTACAAAAATCTGCCAACTGTCTTCTTTAAAACGAGACCAATCTTACGTCTATATTCCAAGGCATTCTTGAATTACGACCATTTAAGTCCGAAATGTGCATTTTCATCTACAGTATATTCAAAAAAGGGTGGCGGGGGTGACACTTAAGGGGTTTATTAGCTTGTGTTCAGGTGTCTATACACTGGGCAGTGACTCTCCAGAACAGAGCTCAGATCTAAACGTTAGGCCTAGTTACTACTAATAATTGCTGTATGTCATATTTGAGTGCAGTTTACCACATTTTACTCAATGGTCCGTCACCATTCTGAAAGAATTTTGGATCATATAATCATGGTTGACAGAAATAATCATAACGCATTGTGGAACTCATATTGCTTTTATACTGAAATGTGCTTTCTCAGGGCTGTGAATTAGAATAGAAAAAGCTGTATAAATCATTTCATGTTGACTTGAAACAGGACAAAGTAATTTTCTTGCCCGTGTAAAGCTCAGAACAACTTCAAGCATCTCAGACCTCAAAGACTTACTTTAGACTTGTTTGTTGTTCGGGGCCCTTTTAAAGGTACACTGTTATATGCATGCATACTTGATCTACACAAAGCTGCTGTCAGACACTTTGTGATGATGGATGTCTTGTGCCAGTACTGAAGCGGGTCCAACTCTGCAGCGGTGGTGTTGAGTTTGTTTACAGTACATCTCTAATCCATCTTCACCCTCAGAGCTATCAGTCTTAGTAATTAAAAGTTGACACGGTTCGCCTCATTCGACCACACGGTTCTAAATGATGGGTTGCAAACTGAAAGATATTGTATTGACTCTTATTCCCCACTGTTTGACTTTGAGAAATGATGCATAATGAATCAGATATGTTGCATTTGCACTCATAATGTGTTTTTTTCGCAATGCAGGAGCCCAGGACGAGGAATCGAGGTGGATGTTGGAGTGGATGACTGTTGTGTGAGAAGGCAAGGAAGCATTGAATCAATAAGGCTTGTCCTGCCTTCCTTACTTATTTGTTGAGTTCGTTTAAAAGTCCCAGATTGAAGACTGATAGCGTGGACCACCACATCTTTCACTTGTGAGGACCAGCGCAAATATGTGGCCTCAGCGGGGGCCACGATGCATTATTAGCCCAAGGACTGTAATGCTCCTTGGGCTGGTGACAATTTGCATTTCCCCCCACCTTTCTGGAGGAGCACCGGAGCCATTTAAGTCCTTCTTGCCCCCTGAATGGGGTCTGACGCATTTAGCCATCCATAACAAGACGGGAGATGTTTACGTTGGCGCGGTAAACTGGATCTACAAGCTCTCTAGCAACTTGACCAAGTTGAAGAGTCATGAGACGGGTCCGGTAGTGGACAACGAGAAATGCTACCCACCTCCAAGTGTACAGTTATGCCCCCATGACCTTTCCCCAAATAGTAATGTGAACAAACTGCTGCTAATAGACTATCCCCAAAACAGACTCATTGCTTGTGGAAGCACCTCGCAAGGCATCTGTCAGTTTCTGCGCCTGGATAACCTTTTCAAGCTTGGCGAGCCACAACACCGTAAGGAACACTACCTCTCCAGCGTCGTTGAGTCGGGAACCATGTCCGGCGTCATCATCTCTGAGGGTCATGTCAGCAAGCTTTTCATTGGGACGCCCATCGATGGGAAATCGGAGTACTTCCCAACCCTTTCCAGCCGTAAGTTGATGGCCAACGAAGAGGATGCTGACATGTTCAGCTTTGTCCACCAGGACGAGTTTGTCTCGTCGCAGCTGAAGATCCCCTCGGATACACTGTCCAAATTCCCGGCGTTTGACATCTACTACATATACAGCTTCAGCAGTGAGCAGTTTGTCTACTACTTGACCTTGCAGCTGGATACCCAACTAACCTCTCCTGATGCCAGCGGGGAACAGTTCTTCACCTCTAAGATCGTCCGACTCTGCATCGATGACCCCAGGTTCTATTCCTACGTGGAGTTCCCAATTGGCTGCACCAAAGATGGCGTAGAGTATCGACTGATCCAGGACGCCTACTTGAGCAAACCCGGAAGGCAACTTGCCAACTCTTTGGGAGTTTCTGAGCAAGAGGACATCTTGTTTACAGTCTTCTCCCAAGGGCAGAAGAACCGAGCCAAACCCCCAAAAGAGTCAGCACTCTGCCTGTTCACGCTAACCAAAATAAAGGAGAAGATCAAGGAAAGGATTCAGTCGTGCTATAGAGGAGAGGGCAGGCTGTCTTTGCCCTGGCTACTCAACAAGGAGCTACCATGCATCAACTCGGTAAGCTTCTGATGGCAGGCCATTAAGACACACACACACACACTGCATGGCTATGACGATTGATTTGTTGGGTTGGATGAATGAGTGTGCTTCAGTAATGTCCTCTGCTAGAGTTCAGCCTCCATTATCTTGGTGCAAAGGGTGATTGTGATTAGATATGAGGGGAGAAATTGTAGATCGGACTAGGGTTGTCCGGGTAGGACAACTGGGAACTTTGAGGAGTCCTCTATGGCAGTGTTTATCAACTCCAGTCTTAGAGACCCATCTACTAGAATGTCTTACTACGTGATTTAACAGAATTACTAAACAGGGCAAATTAGCGTGAGCCATTATAATGACCAATGCAATCTACCTGGTAGCGTCTGGTGTAAGACATACTTTTTTGGGGTGGTAAATAATGGCGTAAACTAGAGCCAGACCGATATATCGGCCGGCCAATATTAGGCATTTTCCAAAATATCGGTATCGGCAGTTATAATGGCCGATAAATGAATATTTAAAAAATAAAATAAAAACGGATGAAACACGCTTCAATCATCTCTCCCTGGCCTGTTATATTGAAAATGTATGTTTTACAATTTGCAGTATGATGTTATCTATTGCTAAATTATGGCTCATCATAGACTAGCTAACCACAAAGCTAGCTAATGCCACTATCATCAGTGGAAGACTGCTAACGTTAACATTAATGAGCTTGGAAACCACAATGAACTTTTTCTGCCTAAATAAAGTAATGATTGCTGTATTTATAACTAGCATATCTCTAGTTACAGTCCCTGCATTGTAAAATGTAAGTTATACTTGTGAGGAGTGAACATTTAGACATAGAGAAAAAGTATCAATCGTATCTTGTGCAGAAAAGTTAGCTTTTCTTTTACACGTGTGTGAAATCCAACAATATTTAAAAAAAAAAATAAAAATCGGCCGATATATCGGAATATCGGATTTTAAAACCCAAAAATATTTGTATCGGTATCGGCCTTCAAAATCCTTTATCGGTCCGGTCGGGCTCTAGCGTAAACACCAGTACATAGATGAGCGAAAATCACCTTGCGTGAATCATTTAAATACTCAACTCCCATAAAGGTTGTGCCTGAATGCATATGCAATAAGGTAAGCCGCAAAAATAACGGTCTCCACGCCTTTTCAGTGTACATTTTTCACTGTGTGTCTTCCTGATGGTACTTTTTAATGTCAAAATAAGGTTTGCGCTGGCACAAGCATAGTAGTAAATCTTGCCCCTAGTGTGAATATGGAGGCATCTAAAACATTCTGTGAGGTTAGTGGGACTGGAGTTGAGAAACACTGCTCTTTAGTAGAGTCCGTTTATTGGGCTGGGATGCCAAATTTAAGGACGAGATTGAGACTGGATAAGACTACAGTGCAACTATTGTCAAGTACCTCGACTACTACACTATCTAACTTCATTAAGACGTTGTTGAATATAAATATCACAAGCACTCTTCCTGTCACCCACCTCCTGTTTCCTTCTGCGTCCGTTCTCTCTCGCTGTCTTTCTCCCAAGCGCTTCCATTATTCAGTCAGACAGGAACATCATTAGTGGAGTTGAGTAAATTTCATGAGTTGCTCTCTCGCTCATGCTTTCTAATTCATTTAGAGAGGCTTGATCCCATCTTCTCTGCCATCACGGTCCTCTGGGACCAGGGCTTGCTTTTCGTCCTCTCGTTCGCTCGCTCTTAATCTCTCTCTCCTCATTCGTCTCTGTTCGTCTCACTCGCTCTGTCTTTCTTGGGGCTTTCAATGGCAAAGAATGGCTTTCATTTAACCAAGCACTCAGAGATAAAGATCCCCATTTTTATTTTTCTGACTCGTTCCAAATCGGTTTGATCTTTTTCCCTTTCTTTATATTTAAAGTCTATCTGTAGAGCTCTAAGCGAGTGGATTAGTAGAGAATGAAATAAGTTTTTGGGAATCAAAACTGATACAGAGTGGCTGTACGTGTGACGTCTAAATACTTCAACGCTAGGAACCGTTTAAGACTCTTGAAACACTCTCAAAACTCAAATTATTATTATTATTTATACTTTCAGGATTTATAGAGTCATTATAGAGTGCCTACCACTGACAATGTATTTTTAGTAGGGATGCACGATATATCGGCCAGCATATCGGTACCGGCCGATATATGTTCATTTTTAATGTTATATCGTTATCGGCCTGGTAAGAAAATGTGGCTGATGTATTAAAGCCGATAAATAATGTATTATTCCCTTCAGCTGAGACACTTGTTGAGCACTGTTTGTTTTTGAATTTCTTGAAATATGATATTCAAAAAATGAAAATACGGTTCGGTAAAACATGATCAACGCAAATCTGTCATATCGGCTATACAACACTATAATGAGAACATCATTATAATTGTGCGCTTGGGACATGGATTTAATTGTGAGACTTTTGTTTTTGTAATCAGGCTCTCAAAATTAGATACAAATTTGGATTTAAGTTTATCGGCCGATATATCGGTTAGCGGCTTTCAAATATTAAGAATTATCGGTATCGGCCAAAATTTTCATATCGTGGCATCCCTAATTTTTAGCTTATTTTATGTTATCTTTTTTTAGCTTATCTTATTTTAATCATGGATAAACCTGGCCTTCACAACTGACCCCAAATTTAAGTGCGAAAAAATTAGGGAGCGTCCAAGATGGTTGTGGTCATACAACAACCAACTAGGGCTAGGCAATTAGTGACGTTGATCAGGGAGTTAAGCAATTTTTTTAAATGGAGGCTCATATTACAAATAATTATTGCCCAGTGAGTCCAAAAGTTTAATTTGAAGCACTTAAACCTGCGTCCAAAACGTGTATAGGGTGTATTTTGGAGCATTTCTTATGACTATAACAATTTAAATTTAAACTCAGGAGTTAAGCTGCTTTAGAATAACTAAGAAGGTAAATATTTTTTTGCCATCTAAATGGAAATCAAAGTTTCTGCTTATCTTTGGTGCAGTCCATGGTGACATTTTTTTTAAATTTAATTTTTTTTTTAAATATTGTGTTTCCAAATAAATGTTTATTTTTTTAATTTTATATAATCTATCAGATAAAAAATGTATTACGGTTTTTGAAACCACAACACTAAAAAAATTTGACGACGTGACATTAATTCTTTATTGTTGTTGTTGGCATCCTGCTTGACCTCAGAGATTAAGTACACTGCTTATTAACCTATTTATTGACATACGTCTGACAGACGCACCTGTGTATTCTTACTCACAGAAACAGAAATCAGCCGTTTAAATCTCATCAGAACAGAATGTTGAAAATCTGGCGCTGCTGAATGATTCACACTGATCAGATCAGGGGAGTGTGTTTAATAACTCGTTTTACGCATGAAATTTTTAGAACTTAGTTTACATAGTCACATGTCTGTCTCTCTCTCTCTCTCTCTCTCTCTCTCTCTCTGGAATGTGGTGTGTTGTGTTTGGTTTCGCCTCTGCCCTGGGCAGACACATAATCAGCAGTCTGAAAACCACACACACACACACCTATTGTCGTGGAGTTATGTTTGTGTGTGTGTGTGTTTTTTTGGTTTGTCTTTCTGCAACCTGTTTAGTCCTGCATTAGTTTTCACCTCAATAGTAAAGTGTGAATGTGTGTTTGTGTGTGAGAGAGAATGTAATTACTTCAGCACACACACTTCTGAGTGAATGTAATGCTCATCTTCTCTGCGTGACCCATGAGGATTGAGAGAATACTGCATCACATCAGCATCAATCGAGTGTGAAATAGCATTGGGACTGGAGCTCTGTTTCAGTCTTTGTGTCATGAACACCTGAGATGCATCACATACATTACCAATCAGAAGTCTGGTGTCCGTAAGATGTGGTGGTGTTGTTGAACACATTCAGCAAGAACACATTAAATTAATGTCAGTAAAGGCATTTATACTGCTATTTAGAAAATAAAATTTAAAAAGGATTCTTTAATAAGTAGAATTACGGATCCATTGAAATATAAAGCAGCGCAACCGTTTTCAACATTGGTAAGGCCACCCTTAAAAATATTCTTGTTTGCCGTAACCCGACCGACCCTGTCAATTTAGGGCCGACCCAATTTTTTTTTTTTTTTCCTTTTAGTCCGACCGACTTGCCGGTTGTAACCTGCGTTCAGACCGACCGATTTTTTTTTTTTTTTTACTCTTCAAACGACTAATTCAAATTCAATAAAATAATATTAATTATATTTTAGTTAGTTTTGTAAAAGTTGCTTGTGTCTACATAGCCAACAAACGTAGGCTACGTTCTTTCTTAAATAAAAACCCGTGGCGTCATAGTCATCCGATTATGTTTACACCATTGGTTTAACGTTAAGCGTGTCACTATATGGCTTGTACGTTCGCTCGTTTCAGTGTTCCCGCTTGGTACCCGGTATTAAAAGGGCAACGGGGCTGAATATCAACCATTTCTATAATAAAAATATTAAACAATTTGTCTGTGATGCAATTTTGCTATTCGCAGTCCAGAAGAGAGAGCGATCTCTCACCCGGAGCCACAGCGCGCACAGCACGACAGCCCTGCTTAATGAGTGACAATGAGGACAAAACGTGGTTACACTTTAGATCTGGGATATTATTCTAATTGTATTTTAGATTTCCGCTTTCAAAGATTATAAAAAGAAGATATTTGAGATGAAACCATTACAGACGCATTGTGTCTAGCGCAACTTCCTTCACAGCGCTGCGCTGTCATTTCTTCCTAAAACCCAAACGTACCGTCAGAATCAGCATGATCGGTGATTGTTGTAAAATGCAGTCTGTACTGTTGCTAAACTGCGGACGCGTTCAATCATTAAAAGAGCTATTAAAAGCACAAAAGTCTGCGCAAGAGAAGTTGTTCACGACGCGCGACACGCGCTCCGAAATGCACTAAAACGAGACAAGAAAAGTAGGCTATCGCCTCATTTTGGGCTTCATGTGCGCATCTAAACCATCAAATATACATAAAATATAAAATGACCTGCTCTGAGATTCATTTAAACACAGTTTATGTCTTAATTGGATGTAAATTGGGAGAAAATGATGGTGCATCAGTCATCTATTACAGTAGAGTTCTGCATTCGGTCTTAAAGGGGCAGTAGTCTAATAAACGTGACGATTGAGCCAATGCGAATCAAACAACAAAAGGCAGATAAAAATCACTCACAGCTCTTGAATGAATAACTTAAACTTTAATAAGCATTAATCTAACTATGATAAACTATGTAGTGTCATTTTACATTTGATTACTAGCTAAATTAAATTTCTTTTCAGAGAGAGCGACAGACTTGACTGAAAAGCTAATTTTAGACCTTCCTGAAATTAAAGCACTGTGTATATAGGCTAATTTGTATCTTTGTTTAATTGTATTCTTTGTTTGACCATGTGTTTGTACTTGTTTTTGCTGATCTCATGTATATATGCATAACAAATAGATATTTTATACATTTTGTGACATTTTGAGCCTAAAATGTAACTGGTCGTATTTTGCATTAACACCTAGCGGTGGATGCACAGTTTGAAGACCCAGTCAGTGACGTCACAATATGCATTTTTTTTTTTAAATTCACGATCACCATCTCCAAAATTGTACCTTTTTTTTTTACACTGAATCTTGGAAAAAAAAATATAGACCTACCTACCGACCCTTTTTTTAAAAAAAATTGCTGTTACTGCAAACCAAAATATTTTTAAGGATGGCCTAATAAATAATTCTTCAGCATCAAATCCTCATATTAGAGTGATTTCTGAAGGGTCATGTGACACTGAAGACTGGAGTAATGATGATAAATTCAGCTTTGATCACATGGTAGATCATAGGATCGCAGTTTATCATATATTCACACAGAAAACAGCTCATTTTAAGTTGTAATAATATTTGATACCAATTACTGCCTTTACTGTATTTTTGATAAAATAAACCTAAATAAATCTTCTGAACTGCAAACATTTGGAATGGTATAGCATCTCTTTAGAGAAGACAGTCCCATAATGCATTGCATCAAACTTGGTAAACATATATCCATTACCAATTTCCATAATTTTTAGTGTTTGGGGGTTTTCACAGGGATTTGCCTTTATGTTAATAGTTTAAAGTCTGACAACACAAGACTGATATTTAAATAAGCTCAGCTCATGATGGCATAAATATGGTGAATTAAATTACTTTTGATGTTTTCAAAGCTATAAATCATTCAGCCAGGCTTTGTGTGTGTGTGTGTGTGTGTGTGTGTGTGTGTGTGACTGCTTGACATCAGGTTTTTAGCTCAGAGGAGAAAAAGTGAGTTTGCTAAGTGAATTGATGCCCGTCTTCCTCTACTTTTCCTCTGTTTCCTTTCTTCCTGCTGTGAGGTAGAGACTCTTCTGGATGGATGAAGACAGAAAGAAAAAGAAAGAGGAAAGAAAGAAAGAAAGAAAGAAAGAAAGAAAGAAAGAAAGAAAGGTTATTGATGTGTGCCTGGGCGGCTTTAGAGGACACACTCACACACACAGACACACACTAACTTAGCTTTTGACTGAGCACACACCACAGACTATTGTTTATTTATAAAGCAAAGTCTAATCTAAACTCTTAACCCATAAAAGAAAATTTCATTTGAATAATTCTTAAAGTCTACAGCTGTAAAGTATGGCTAGTTAGCCACATATTAAAGCTTTTATTCAAACCTTTTTTGAAATGCGGGCTGGAAAATGTGTGGAATTTTGTGAATGGATGACATTTACATTCGGTGGAACATTGGAGTTCTGTGGAATCAGAGACGTCATGTTCAGACAACATCTCTCTCTCTCTCTCTCTCTCAATTCAATTCAAAATTGCTTTATTGGCATGACTGTGTACGTAATGCAATATTGCCAAAGCTTGGAATACATAGAGTAATTATATAGACTTCAAAATAGTAAAATATATATTATATATACAAATTAACAGTGTAAAATAAATAAAATAAAATAGAACACTTTATAAACATTTAAAATATCTGTGAAAAAATTACAATACAGTGTGTAAGTGTTTGTTGTATGAGTGTGTGGTGTGTGTATGTGTGGGCACATCACCGATTAGTCGTCGACTCTCTCTTTTTGTGACGAGCATCATTGATGTATCTGTAAAATCTCATTTTTCACCTAATCGATGTTGAAATTGTGTTTGGTTGTTTAATTGCATGAAGTTAGGGCAAAGTATTTCAAATTTTGTGTAATAAAAATTGTCTCTCTCTCACACACTATATCTCTCTCTCTCTCTGTTTTGGTTTTATAAGTATTTTATGTATTAGCCTTTCTCACTAACTTTGGTGTCCTTAGGTCACCTTTCCAGGGTTTCCTGCAATACAGTGACCTTGCTTTCCTGTTCTGGCATCCATGTAATAAATGACCTTGCTGCTGTGAGAGTGTGTGTGTGTAACTTCCGTTGATACTGTTTTTAGGAACACCCACCCTCACCCAGTCATTGACCTTTTGCCGGAGTCTCTCTCTCTGACTCTCTCTCTTTGTTCCAGCCTCTCCAGATCGATGATAACTTCTGCGGGCAGGATTTTAACCAGCCTCTAGGGGGCACCAGCACCATCGAGGGCATTCCCCTCTTCATCGACAAAGATGACGGCATGACTTCAGTCGCTGCGTACGATTACCGCGGGAACACGGTGGTCTTCGCAGGAACACGCAATGGACGGATGAAGAAGGTACGAAGTGTGCAGCTCTATTTCATTGATCTCTTTGTTCACTTAACACAGCGTGGAATGGAAGAAGGGAGTCTGAAGTCGTTTATGATGCAACTCTTGGTGTTTTGTGTTGTACCGTTGCTACACTCTTAGAAGAAATGGTTCTATTTAGAACCAGAAATGGTTCCATCCCCCGCTTCATATATGGAACTCCAAAATGGTTTGAAACAGTCTAGATGTCTCAGCAGAGATTTGGAGAGGATTGTTGCGCTGTGGTTTTCATGCATTGTTTGTAGTTGATCGTTTCTGTTGTTCCGGTATTGATGCGCTGTGGAAAGTGGTTTCAGACCTAAGACATCAACCACTGATGTTGACGTATGATTTGCATGTTTTCGTGATCTATATTGGCCGATATTTGCAGTAGCACCTCATTGCAGTACACAAGATCTAGGGGGCGGAGTTGGATCCAGATCTAAGGGGTGGAGATGGGTGAGATTAGGGGTGGGGTTAGGGATCAGTGGGGTGGAGGTGGGTAGGATTAGGGGTGGGGTTAGGGATCAGTGGGCGGAGATGGGTAGGATTAGGGGTGGGGTTAGGGACCAGGGGGTGGAGATGGTAGGATTAGGGGTGGGGTTATGGATCAGGGGGTGGAGATGGGTAGGATTGGGGTGGGGTTATGGATCAGTGGGCGGAGATTGTTAGAATTAGGGGTGGGGTAAGGGACCAGGGGACGGAGATGGGTAGGATTAGGGGTGGGTTGGGGATCAGTGGGCGGAGATGGGTAGGATTAGGGGTGGGTTATCCATCAGGGGGGCGGAGATTGGTAGAATTAGGGGTGGGGTAAGGACCAGGGGCACGGAGATGGGTAGGATTAGGGGTGGGGTTAGGGATCAGTGGGCGGAGATGGGTAGGATTGGGGGTGGGTTTATAGATCAGTGGGCGGAGATGGGTAGGATTAGGGGTGGGGTTAGGGATCAGTGGGCGGAGATGGGTAGGATTAGGGGTGGGGTTATGGATCAGTGGGCGGAGATGGGTAGGATTGGGGTGGGGTTATGGATCAGTGGGCGGAGATGGGTAGGATTGGGGTGGGGTTATGGATCAGTGGGCGGAGATGGGTACGATTGGGTGTGGGGTTATGGATCAGTGGGCGGAGATGGGTAGGATTAGGGGTGGGGTTATGGATCAGTGGGCGGAGATGGGTAGGATTAGGGGTGGGGTTATGGATCAGTGGGCGGAGATGGGTAGGATTAGGGGTGGGGTTATGGATCAGTGGGCGGAGATGGGTAGGATTAGGGGTGGGGTTATGGATCAGTGGGCGGAGATGGGTAGGATTGGGGTGGGGTTATGGATCAGTGGGCGGAGATGGTAGGATTAGGGGTGGGGTTATGGATCAGTGGGCGGAGATGGGTAGGATTAGGGTGGGGTTATGGATCAGTGGGCGGAGATGGGTAGGATTAGGGGTGGGGTTATGGATCAGTGGGCGGAGATGGGTAGGATTGGGGTGGGGTTATGGATCAGTGGGCGGAGATGGGTAGGATTAGGGGTGGGGTTATGGATCAGTGGGCGAGATGGGTAGGATTGGGGTGGGGTTATGGATCAGTGGGCGGAGATGGGTACGATTGGGTGTGGGTTTATGGATCAGTGGGCGGAGATGGGTAGGATTGGGGTGGGGTTATGGATCAGTGGGCGGAGATGGGTAGGATTGGGGTGGGGTTATGGATCAGTGGGCGGAGATGGGTACGATTGGGTGTGGGGTTATGGATCAGGTGGTGGAGATGGGTAGGATTAGGGGTGGGGTTATGGATCAGGTGGTGGAGATGCGTTGGTTTAGGTATATGTAAGGTGGGAGGAGTTGGATCTGGATCCAACTCCTCCCCCTGGACTTCATGTTATGCAATGAGGACCGTCTCGATATTTGAGTTATCTTCACCGGCCACTGGAGGACTGTTTCAACAGAGCATTATCTGTATTGAGTTCTCCTCTAGATGAATCACTCATGGGTTTGGGTTAGGGTTATTAGCGTTATTCTCATTATTCATGTCTTTTGTTGGTGTTTTATATGCTTGATGAACTGTGCGGATTAGCTGAAGTCTTCAAAAGTAAACGGTATTTTGGCAGTATGACCTATTTTTGCTGTTTTGTGGTGTGAGTGTGTAGTATGCATCAGGTGTGTGTGTGTGTGTAATGAGCTCAGAATTCATCATGCCGTGAGTGTGTTAGAGGCTCGCAGGAGTGTAAGGACTCACTGGAGCATCACATGATGGATTCACTGAGATGTGAAATGGAGGACAGACTCTGTCCATCCCTGAGAGACGGACTGAAGATGTGGGATGAAATATCCAGCAGCTTTATGTGATGTGTGTGTGTGTGTGTGTGAGACAGTCAGGCACTGAAGTGCTCTCATCACACAACGTCTTTCACTTTTGTTTCTTTCAGGTTCTTCAGTTTAGCGTTTAGACCCATTTCACATTTAAACGGAATGGAAAATATCAAATATAAAAGTAAGGCTCTGGTATTAAGAAGCGCTTTGGTCGATCGGATCACAAACAGGCGCTAAACACAAACGCTTGAGCACTTCCAGAGGGAGTAGTAAACACATTCGACCGGATTGATTTCGTAGTGTAAACGTTCACGTTTACACAGCCACTACAGATCGTCTACTCTCAGAAGAGCTCGAGTCACACGTAAAAATACAGACTATCAAAAGTAAATTTCCTTTTTTTGTTGTTGTATGAATGTACGCTGAAAAATAATATAAACATAGAAAATATGCTTTAATGCAAACTTTTTAAATGAAACCATGTTTGGGGGGAAATGGAAACATACATGTTAACAGTTACGAGGAACCGTCGTCTTCTTCCATTTTGCCATCAACTGATCCGTCTTCAGAAAACGCTGGGAAATCGGTGAACTTCACGTGACCCTACCAGAGTGATTACTGAGGGGCTGTCTGAACTCAAATCACGTTTTAGAGAAGAAACAAAATCATCCGCTGACTTTCAAACTTTCAAAGCTGTTGCATAGAAACAAAGTCCTTGATAGAAATGTAAAAGAGCGGAAAGTGCGAAATTTGTCATTGAAATGCTTGCAGTGAAGTTAGTCATGCAATCCCAGAAACACTCAAACAGTGTACTTAACACTAGAAGTGCCAGAATTCCAAAACTACTAGAACGGCCACAAACGGTCATTTTGACCGTTAGATTCAAAACAGTGTTTATTTCGTTGATGAATAATTTTCGTAATTATTTTCGTCAACCACAGATGAAAACGAGACGGTAACTAAATAAAAACTTGGTTTGCATGACAAAAACTATGACGAAAATGTTAGATAGTGACGATTTGCGAAGTGGTCAATAGGCTAATACTAATAATAGAGCAGAACTAGTGAACAGCCCATGCAGCAAAACAAACAGAGCTGGACAGGGCTGCCGAGCTCACCAGGATCATCCGACACGAATGGATCTGTATCCGCCGTCTCTTTTTCCTTGATGTGGACTCTGACTCTGAATCACTCTCTGATGAGGAGGAAATGCACCCAGGAAACGTCGCTGTCACTTTCCACCTCCGATTGTTCCCCTGATCAACAACTAATGTATAAATTATTATATAGCAAACACCGCTACAGAGGTGACCGGACGGACCTTTCTGTTGACAGTTGAGAGAGAACACGATCAACCGCGGGATATTTAACGGAAAAATACCGCAAAATTTAGTGCGGTCAATATGACCGTCTATGGCCGAAATAGGTAAATGTGTTCATTTTTTTTTGTTTTGCCTTACGTTTACGTAACTTAATTTATATGAAAAGCATTTTAAATGAAAATACAGACAATTTTAGGAAAAGTCAGGTACCAGCAGGATTTTATTTATTTTTTTCAACAAAGTTATTGTAGATATAAAATTCAAAACGGTCAAAATGACCGTTGTGGCCGTTCTAGTGTTAAGTACAGCACTGTAAAAGTGAAAAGTTGTAAAAACGTGAACGTACTTCATTACTCTGCTGTTTTGTCTGGATCATTTAATACAAGAGTTTAGTCAGTCGTAACTTCAGGCACTTAAACTTGAGATTGTCTAGACTGTTTTCTTTAGCTCCACATAAGTGTGTATTAAACATCAATGCGATGTTGCTTTTCCACCTGGTTAGTGCTATTTTAGGGGTGTGTGTGTGTGTGTGTTTGGAGGTGGTAAACCTGGATTAATCCTGATCTAAAGCGTCTGGGCACCAGTAACCCGTCTTGAGCTCTTTCCGTCTGGGTTTGCCACGCTAGACCGTTCAGCCTGGTCAAATCAACAACAGATGGACGAGCCAACTGGGCCACACACACACACACACACACACACACACACTGAACTCACAGTAAAGCCCTCTCTCTCTCTGAGTGATAATGTTGTTAATTATGGCTCCTCTGTTGAGCAAATTCTGGTCTTGAGTGCCAATAGCAGGTGTGTGTGTGTGTGAACTCAGTGTCAAATATAAAGCAAAACTGTTCTAGATGATTGTGACAGAACTGATGCACATTGAGGATTAGCATCTGATGACACAGTTGATTCGAGCTGTTTTTAGAAGTTAAACTGGCTGTAAGCTCAGGATTGACCCGTTGACCTCTGTGACCTCAACAGATTACAGGTTATTAAATTACCCCCTCTCTCTCTCGATACCAGTATTTCCCTCTAGCGTGTAGTAAAATCTAGAATCTCTGTATTGAATCTAAAATGTTTCCTCCTCCTATCATCCCACAGTTCAGCTGTTCCTGTCATTGTCACCTTAAGTGTCTTTGGATAAAAGCATCTGCCAAATCAGTCGTTTCCAAGTGCATCAAAACGAAATGACTGTGTGTTCGTAAAAGTGATACTCGACCTAGTAAAACAATAAAAAAAATGCCAATTATAATAATAACAACAGATGGATGAATTATGTGTTGTAGGAATGCACAGGATTATACTCAGAGGTTTGGATCAAAGTACAAACACACACACACACACATATATGCACACACTCTCGCACACAAATAAACACACAG